ATTAACTGCGATAATTCGATTCTTCGGTTATCGCCGTTTCAATTATGCAATTTTAATGTAATAACATAATTACAAAATATTTTTGCCGGTTTTTCAGCCGCCTTCTAAAAAAAGGAGCATATGATATGACGTGATTTTCTTCACTGCTTAGTTGTTCGATATATTGCTCATTAGCTGTTTATTTATCTGATGTCTCACTATATATGTTATTAAATTAAGCAAAACTTTATGTATAATGCAACTTAATATTTGCCTATAGCAGTTCTGTTACAGATCGGACATACGTACATATTATTTGTCTCATCGGTATATCATATACCTGGGAGTCTAAATTCCCTTTTCTCATTATTTAAAATCTGATAAAATTATTACCTTTAAGCTGAGGTAATCTGGAATACCTTGTCACGCAAGGAAATTTCCCTTAAATTGTGCATTTTACATCCATTCGGTCGTTTTTTTTTTTTTAAGTCCAAAAGTGCAGGTTGGCTCTGAAGGACTATTAATTTCGTTTTGGCATTTTGCTAAGAGGCTGAATCACTTTTGAAATCGTTGCCACCATGTATTATCGCCCTGTCTTATATTTAAAGAAATTAAATAATGAAGAATCTCAATAAATGTACGTATGTTTCTCGCATTGTGATAAAACAACGGTACCTAGAGCCACCCAAATTTGAATAACATAATTTTCCATAGAATATGGGCACGTGGAAGCCCTAATTTGAATTTGAAATTTATTTTATTATCGATTTCAGATTTTGTAACCCTTCAACGAATTTTTGATTAAAAAAACGAAACGATTTCAAAGCGAGCAATAGCAACACTGTACGGGAAAAAAAAGTTATCTCCAGCGCGAGGCTCTGTATCGGAAATTCTAAAGATATGTAATTTGAGATATTGCTGTTGAACTGAATTTTATAGTTTGAGTACGTACAACATAATATTTAATAAATAAAGGTGAACACAAAACGTTAACAAAGGTAAATAAATAAAAGTAAACACAAAAACGTTAAAAAAAAAAAAAAAAACGCCCTTTTGGACGTAATTTAAAATCTGAAACCTTTCAGATTTTTTTTTTTTTTTTTCTGCGCATTGATTTCTTTTAATTGTAAATAATATGTAAAAATTTTTAAAAATTAAATAAAAATATATTTAAAACTGTCATTTATTTTTTATCGATTAAAGGAAGGCCCTAAAGAATTATCATTTTGTAATAATCATATATATATTAAACGTTAAGGCTTACGCAGAGAAAATATTTCGAGTGTTATTTCGAATTTCATCTGCGACAACAAAGTTTAATCATTTTCAAAGCAACATTGTTTTTGTTTTTTGCTCTTTCTTTCACGTACACATAGGTTCATTTATTACAGTATTTACCATTTATTTTTTCAGTTACCTTCATATATATTATGTAGTAAAATCGTGCTTTAATCTTACCCACGAAACAAAATCTGATAAAGTGATAGTAGTGGGAAAATTAAGACTTCTACTATCATTTATATTACATACATCTATCTTTATTTTAAATACTGAAGGACTGAGTATTAAGTATGGTTTTTATGCAGAAAACTAAAAGATTATGGAAATTATGGCACTAGCGTCTGAAATTTTGAACACACATGACCTCTAGCAACTGATTTGGCTTTGCTGATAAACAGATGTGCAAGAATACATCTCTTTAAAAGCCGTCTTCTACAATAAATTAGAGGTATTTGAACTAATTTTTAAAGTTTATATGAAACATATTATTAGGATAGCTAAGCATTTGGCTTCCGATTTGTAGAGTTGTAACGAAAAACAGTAGTATCATACATTTCAAAGCCTTGTTTTTGAAACAAAATAAAAAGGTTCGTCGAATTAGGTCGTATAGCAGTTTATTTCAATGATTAAATATTACAGCTGAGCGTAGCGCAGGACTAAAGAACACAGTATAATAACTGAACAAGTATAATAACTGAACTAAATATTTCTTTTTTTCTTCGTTTACCAACATTATGTTAGGTATGTAATTCACTTGTAGTGCATGCTATGCAATGGGGTTAAGAAGAATTTCAGGGCTCTGATTTTTTCATTTTCTTATTTTTATTGAAGAATTCGATGACGCGGATATTGTAATTTCACACTGTTGTTCAACATGCTAAAAGGAGGGATTAACGATGACATTGTCCTGGTGGTGAATGGAGAAATTTCTATCCTTTTGATTTAATTAAATTAATTCGAAGGTGAGCATATTTTAGTATACTAATCGTATGTGAAAAACCTAACAATTTTTATACAAGAACCTGGGAAGCTGATTTAAACTATTTTTGGTAACTCATTTGCAACTTCTACGCACACTGCACTGTCCATCTCACCTTTGTTTATATTTTTTCCTGAAAAGTGCACAAAAGTAAAGAGCGTCGATTCTACTTCTCTCATTTGTACATTATTTTACCTTCGAATTAAAAACTTTTACATTACAGACAATTATGTCTTTTTTAAAAGATCAGGTTACTCCTTTAAAATTCAACTCATTCATTCAACTCCAATAAACTCATTTTAAAGGTTACTCCTTTAAAATTCAACTCATTCATGCAACTCCAATAAACAGAAAAAAATTGGAAATCGTAACAAAATGCCCCCCCCCATTTGTTTCCAAAAAAGTGTTTTTAATATAGCAGAGACAAATCTAATAATTACATAGCGTAGAAAAATATTTACCTTAACACAGAAAAAATTCAAGGGTCATTTATTTGTATGTGAATATTTATGTTAAAATAACAACAATGATTTAAAACTATTAAATCCTTGTTAGTTCATTTGAAATATTTCTTCTGTTCACAAGTCCTTTTACGTTTTCAGAAATAATATAAATTATGATCTGATCTAAAGACAGTTTAAAACGTCATACCCGATTTTATTCAAATGAACTTAATCACAACGAAGAATGCTACAAACGTTAATACGTAAATGTTTAAGAAAATATCGATGGATTTGTGAATATACGGCTTGTTTTTTAAAGAAAAAAAAGAATTCGTTTCTAAAAAATACACTAGCACTGTGTATTGCTTGCTGCCTTGGATTCGTGATTAGTTTATTTTCAATTTTCGGTTTTATCTATATCGATAATTTAGAAAATTGTTTCGCTTCCTTACTAATCAATAAATGTAATCTAATTATCAAAAATACTAATTTATTTTAATATGTTATATTTAACATACTGATTATGGATATTCACAAAATATATTTTGCAACATATAAGATTGTGTAAATACATGCTTAAAAATTTAGTATATATCTATGCTACTTTACACATAAAAACATGTCAAAGATTGAATCTTTAACTTGGTTAGCCCCTTCTTAAACAAAATCTGACACTTCGCTCTGAATTAATCAAAGGCTAATTAGAAAATATATGTCTTTTTTAATATACTTTTATGTCGATTCGTTTTTCTATTCCTTGTTGACTGAATAGTTGACTAAATGGCTTCAGTATTTAAAAAAATAAAATCTAGAGCCCATATGAAAAGGTTATGATTATTTTCTCATAAGTAACCTAAGTAAGTTCTCTTTAGAACGCCCTCTTTGAAAGAAGTCCCTCTCATAATCTTAATGTGTTATTCCGTAATTTACGGATCTAATCCAACCCAACTGATTTGGGAACTTACCTCAAATTTTTACAGCATCCTTCATTAATTTATCCTTTTAGCTTACCTCGAGATTTGAGCAACTTTCTGCATCTAACATATATATAAGTAATGCTTCTAGCCCTAATTGCTATTTGTATGAGCCTCCTCTTCAGTTCAAGGTTTGTTACGATATCAAACTTGTTAATAAAGAATAACATTAAAGCTTTAAAAAAACTCAGCTTATTAATTTAGTTGCCTTTTTTCATTGATTTAGAAATGTATTTTCAAGGAAATGCAAGCGAAGCGAAGAATTAATACGCTAATATTTGTTATTTAACAAAACCTCAAAATCATAATTCAAAGAATGTTTACGAATGTGCAAAACAATTGTTACTTAGGCTGCTACCTTTCCTTTTAAGTTCCAACAAATGAAAAAAAAAATTCTGAAGCATTTTAGTAGCAGTCAAATATAGTAGTTCTGGCTTCTAATTAGTATAAAATTCCCTTCATGCAGATTTTTCGGATTACAATTCGTTAAATACGTGTTAAATGTAAAAAATACCGCGAAATACTTAATGTAGCCATTCCGCTTTACCAGGAATAGAGCTCTGACACGATACAGTTATTATTTAAGTATTATATCTCTTTGAGTCACTAAAAATATTAAGTATCATACATAGGCAGATTTTGCTTAATATAATGAAAAGTTTTCTTATGTTTCATTAGATTAGTATTTACAATTGTAAATATGGTGAAATGACTTTCAATTAAAATGAAAATGCAAAGCATTTCTAAAATATAATGCAAAAATTAATTTAATATTTTTATAACGTAAATATCAAAGACAAAGAATGAAATATTTTTAATGATGACACTAAAAATAAATTTAAAATGAAGTAAAAAATTATACAGGGAACAAAAATACACTTCAGCAAAATCTAAGGCAAACTAAGTACATTCAATGAGTACAATGATATGAAATATATTGTGAATTAAAAATAAAATGGGAAAATAAATAGTTATTCTTTAACTAGCAAAAGCATAAGTTCTTACTGTTGTACGTAGCTTTGACTCATATTTCTTGAAAATTTAACGCTTGACAATATTCTACAATAATCTTTAAATTTACGATATAATTAATACATACATTCAAAATTAAAATATTTTACACTCAGATTTGATACTTAATGACAGGGTTTCACCACCAATTAAAAGTTCTTCTTTTCACTGAATTCGCATACATCTAACCAAAATTTTTTTTTAAGATTTTCTAAAAAGACAAAGTTCTTTATCTAAATATCTGAGTTATGGTAATGAAAATGATAAGATGAATTTAAAATATAATAGCATTTTCACTTTAAAAGTAAAAGTAATGAAGAAACATACCATAATTTAGAAGTCCTGAACAGTGTGATATGTTTTAAAACATGGGTGAACACATAGTCCTACATTACATTCTTCGCACCAGTATCTGGTTTCGCGTCTAATTCTTTTTCCTTTATCATTTCTTTGTTTATTGCACACAACACATCTACGCGAAGGATTGTTTCGAGTAGCACCAGTATGAGGAATAACAGAAGGAAAATGTCTTCCAGTTAAACGTACGATGCTACCATATTGTGATGATGCGTCATTTGGGTGCGATAACTGTGTTAAATGCTCTTCAATTAATCTCTCTATCAGTCTCAGTCTAAATTCAAGATGCCTGTTAAGGCCTCCACACTTCGTATAAATGACGAAAGCATTCCATACGGCTTGATCTAAGAGATGCCGAAAAATCTTTTTATAATACTTTCGTTGTTGGTTTCTTATGACTGGATAATACGCTAGACACTGGTCAGCTTTATCCACTCCTCCCATTTTTTTATTGTAGTCAATTATAGCAGTAGGTTTTCGTATGAGTTTATCATTTTTCGAAAGAGTTTCGAAATCTGTACCATGGTAGGTACTTAAAAATGAAATGGGTTTTTTGTCTTGCCATTTCAGAACGCATATTTTGCCTTTCTGAAAGGCCATAATTTCGCCCTTCTTCAATCTTTCTGATTTCAGTTCTTGAGGAAGACCTTTCCTATTTGCACGCAAAGTGCCACATATATCTGTTTTTCCCGCGATAAGTAATTCCGAAAGTTCAAGTGAAGTATAAAAAGTTGTCTAGCGTTAAGCTATAGCCTTTGTTTAGTAAATCATGTATCAGCGTCATTGCGCTTTTCGTTGCAACTCCAAATTGTTCGTATCGCAGATCAAATTTAGTACCTTTACCGGTATAAAGTACGAAATTCCAAATATATCCACTTGACGATTCGCATAATTGGAATATTTTAATTCCGAATCTAGCTCTTTTAGTCGCTATATATTGTTTCCAACCTAGGCGGCCTTTATAACCCAGCAGAGATTCATCTATAGCTATATCCCTGTCAGGGATATATGCGTTTTTGAATTTTTGTCGCAGCCTTTCAGAAAAGGTATAAATTTTTTTCAGTTTAGGCTGAGGATGTACACTTTTGTCGAAAGTTTCGTTATTTTCAAAATGTAAGAACTTCATAAGGAGACTGTATCGCCTCTCTGTCATTATTTTGCCTATAGATGGAGTGCTTATTATTGGTCTTTGAGTCCAAAACCATTTCTCCACTGGCTTCTGCATAATTCCTTGCAATAAAAGCAATACAAAAAAACACTTTTATTTCATTTGGATTTGTTTCAGTCCATGCGCGTGTTCTTGCTCGTGGACTTAATATAGTTGCGGCCAAATACTGGGAGGCATATCTATTAGTTTCTTCAACTACAATGTTTACAACTTCGTCATCGATAAAGAGAAGGAGGAATTGTAAAGGATCATTCGCATCCTTTATGGTCATTTTTAAACCTGGGCAAGCGCTGAATGGAAATTTAGGAGGAACAGGTTGAGTTTTAGAAGTGTCTATCTTGCACCAATCCCGCACTTTGCTTAATTGTTCTTCATCTGAATCACTTTCAGTTTCAGATGAAGATAAAAACTCGCTTTCTGAGCTAGATAATAAACTTTCTTCTTCAGATTCACTAGCCATATATGCTTCTTTTCAAAACAGCACGAAATAGCAGCAGCAGATAACACAACAGCAGAATAGATGAAGTGGCTGATGAATGAGATCAGGCAGTTCGGCTTTTATAGAGTAAAATCACTTTGGGGGTAGAAAACAAGTAAATAGCTTGGTCAAAGGAGCTTCTTGAGAAAATAAATGTATTTTCGAGTTACAATGCAATTTCCTTGTAATTAACTATATAAGAGTTACAATGCAAGTATTTATATACTACGTGCATTATCGAGATGTTAATAGAAACCAAAAAAAAATTCTTTGTAGCAAAATTGTTAACGATATTATTTCTCCAAGACATTTACGCAGGTGTGTATTCTTTTCATGAATGATGAAAAATAAGTTAACAGTTTTCCGAGCAGATGCTCCAAATTATACAGCTTTGAAGATTAAGTAATGAAAACATAAACTCTTATTTCTGGTTATGTGCTGAAAAAGATATTACCCTTTTCAAAGAAAACACCCTAATAGCGGAATCTCCAAGTTGACTTCAACGTAAATATACCTCCAGGGGGTACTGAACTAAAAGCTTACCACCTTTGTACATTTTCTACTTTGTATGGGAGACCATTACCTTTGTGCAAGGACAAAAAAGCAAAGCATCCGCTATCTATAACCTGATCTTTCTCAGTTTGTTCCTTTTGTTAACTATGACGAGAAATGGAGCTGCCGTAAATTCTAAATTTATTGCTTCTTCCAAAGACTCTGATTTCAAGTTGTGTATTTGCCGTCTGTTAGTAATTTAAGCTACCCTGGCTTTAAATTCAGAAACATCCTTTCATCAGTAATTACAGTACATATAAACACAATATCATTATTTAAATTCAGACTTTAAAATCTTCATCTATGTTAAACTATAGAAAGCGCAAGCAGTTTATTTCGTGAAAATTTATCACATTTTTCGTAGGAATTATTAAAACGGTTTTGTATGTAAACTATATATATATATATGTAAACACACATACAAAACACTGTGTATACATATGGTGATGTA